GAGACCAGGAGTTTCAACCTTCTACCTAAAAATCTTCCTAGCCAAATGTCTCACTTTATGGAGTATATTTTGTTTTTTCTATTTCATGCAAGGAACAGTGTTACAAACTTTCCCCTGCGTAAGAAGAGTTCTTTCTCTGTCCTCTATAAGGTTTTCATTTATGTTGTTCAAGCCTTCACTAACAGTCTTCTTCAGTCACTTACAGCTTGTGCTCACCTCAGGTCCTAAAACCATTGCCACGTGTTTTAAGATTTTATTGTACAATTTAACTTCCCTGTACTAGCTTCTGTTATGGTTATCTAATTCTGTGTAACAAATTACCTAAGCGCATCACCTTAACACAATAGCCATTTTATTGTACCTCACAATTTGTGAGACAGAGAAAAGGGCAGGCTAAGCCGGTGGGAATTCTTGTTCATGTAGCATCACCTGAGGTCACTTGGTGGCCTTCAACTCTAGAATGAGCTCAGTGGGGTCTGGAGGATTGAAGATAGCTGTAATCACATTCCTGGCACTTTGACAAGGATAACCCAAAACCTAGTTTTATCTGGGATTGTCAACCAGAGGACCTACATATAGCTTCTCTAGTATAACAGTCCTACGGTAGTTAGACTATGCTGACAATAGCACAAAAGATAGGAAGGCAGAAATAGGTAAATTTTGTTATACAATTTTTATATTTTGTATGTGAAGTTGTGTAATAGTTGAAGTTATGTTGTGACAGGTTAGATGTGCATATTTTAGACATGAGAGCAATCACTAAAACTACAAAGATGCAAGTATATTTATAATAGGCCAGTAGTGGAGATAAAATGGAAAACTAAAAAATATTCAATTTCAAATATGACAGAATAAAAGGAAAAGGGAAGAAGAACAGATTGGGACAAATAGCAAAGAACAAGATGGTTCATTCAACTCCAACCGTGTAAATAATTACATTAAGTAGGAATGATCTAAGTATTCTAAAGTCAGAGATCATTAGGCTGGATAAAGTAGCACGACCTAAATATACTATCTACAAAATATTCCCTTTATATACAAAGAGGTTAAAAGTAAAAGAATTGAAAGAGATATCGTGCAGATACTAATCATTAAGAAAACTGAAGGGAACTATATTAATACCGAATAAAATAAACACAAAACATGAAATAATACTAGCAGTATTATATTTCTTAATGATGTAAGAATCAATTAATTAAAAAGACATAATTCTAAATGTCTGTAAGCCTAGTAACAGAGCCTTAAAACACCTGAAGCAAAAATGGACAGATCAGAAAGAGAAATAGATAAATCTAATACAGTTAGATATCTCAACACTTCTCTTTCTCACTTTTCTCTCAATTGATAGAACACATAGGCAGAATATCAGTAAAACAAAACAAAACAAAAAAACCCAGAAATCTGGAACAGTACTAGGCATAAAATTGAGAAAAATCAACAAAACCAAAAGTTGTTTCTTTGAAAACATTAGTAAAATTGAGAAACTCCTATACAAAAAAAAAGAAAGTTCAAATTAACAACATAAGAATAAAAAGGAAACATTAACAGAGATCCAGGAAATACATAAGGGATAAGAGGGATAAGAAAATGTTATGAACAATTTTATGTCAATACATTTGACAGTTTAATGAAAGAAACAGATTCCTTGAAAAATACAACATAAAAATGACTCAAAAAAATCTGAATACTGCTGTATTCAGCAGTAAAAAATCTGAATGCTAGTAAAAAAATCTGAATATCTGTTAGAGATATTGACCCCTTAATTAGAAATCTCCCCATCTCTAGAGGCATCATCAACTGAATTAGGTCTCAGTATTAAGTCCTTGAATGTGTCTAGAAATTTAAAACCACTGTAGCTGGTGAGTTCTCCCCTCAACCCACTCCTCCCCCATGTAGTTTTCTTCATACTACTTTCTGTTTATTTACTTTGCATCCCTGTTGTTGGAGTTTTAAAGGGACCAGTTAATTGCGTCACTTTTTATTCTAACCTCTGAATTCTTTGAGTAGACTTAAGATGAGAATGAAGATGTCAGTTTTGTTTATGGAGAAACTAGGTAGAAGAGTATACTTAGCATTGCGTCTAGTCTTCCTACCCCTTCAAATTGGATTGACTTAACTTGCCCAGTGGTGTTTAGTATGTTGATGACTGGACAATGCATGTGCGTTTGGGCAAGCAAGTTCTTTGAGTCAGAGACCAATGACACACGTGGCCGGTCTTTTACCCTTTCTCACCAAATAGGTGTGCCAGAAAGAGGGAGAAAGGTTGGGGTTTTGTCACCTACAACTTAGGTAACGCCCTTATTATGGTCTCTTTTTCCAAGCAGTCACACCTTCCCAGTTCAGATGGAACCCACGGTTAGTCCACTGCTGACTCACTTTCAGTTCCTTATGTCCTTTGGACCTTATTCTCGATTGTGAACGAGTTATTACAGCGTTGATCTTTTTTCGTAACTGTTCTCCTTTCTCTTCCATAGAAATTTAAACCTGGCCAAGACTGCAATTTTTTTTTTTTTTTTTAACCATCTCAAGAAAAAGCATGGCATTAAAAAAATCCTAGCTTTTAAATGAGGGTCGATGTGTACCTTTGCTCACCAGTGTCAATTCAAGGCTCAGCACTGTTCATTATAAGGCCACCTTTGTTCATTAGTTCCTTTTCTTGTAAATTTTTCACCATTGTCTCCCTTTTCTAATTCCTGTTATTGGTTGACTTCCAGGACACTCCAAATTCTTCTCTGATGTCACTACCGGGCTTGAAAGTAATGTCAGCCCATACCATGTGGTGGTAATCTGTTTCTCCAAATCCTTATTTTTGAGTTTCTGATACTCAGAGCTCATAGTTTTTTAACTTTCTCAGCTATGCCAATCAGAATCATTCTAATATCTTAAATATCGGAAGCCCCTCTTTTCTGTTTTCTTCTTCTCTGGCAGTGTTTTTCTCTTAACTCTTAAATTCAATTTTTTTTGTTGTTGTTCATATACTTTCTCTTCATTTTTTTTCTCCCTTCTTCTCCTCCCTTTCCCTCTCCCTCTGTCTCAATAGATGGTCTTGCCATTGCGTCTGTGGTCGCTCAATGTTACTCCCTTACACAGAAAATGTCTGTACTCATCACCCATCCTTTCTTCTGTTTCTAACCATAGAGAAACAACTGTTTCTCCTCTTTAATGTCTCACTGTGCTAAAGTTCTTGTTCCCATCTTCTCTTGAATTTGTTCCATTATTTACCATTCTCCCTTTATATTTCTTCTCTTTACTAGCATTAAAAGTGAAAAAAAGAAAATCAACACCAACAACAAAAACCTTGTTAAAGATTCAGCTTCACTTTCAAAGTATATCAGGCTTCTTAGAAGACTAAAATTTATTGGTTAACTCCACTTTTTTGCCTTTAAAAAGAATCTTCCAATTATTGGAAATCTTAGTTCACTTTTATTGCCTTTCTGAAAGGTATTCCAAAGGTACTAGTGACTGGTAAGTTCTTACCAGTTCTTCTGCCCTGAAAAAGCAGGACAGAGCACTGTCTTCTTTTGCTCTTCTTTGGTGACTTCATTGATAGATGACAATCTTTTGTGGAAGGCCCTTTCTAAAATAAACCTTTTAGGAGATGTGCAAACTGTTCTACTGATTTAGTGCAGCAAACAAGACTGCAGAGATGATTCTGAAATGATACCTCCTTAGAGAAAATTTGTATAAGGTTTTTTATTAATTATACGTTGGAGCTCTGAAATTCTAGGACAGGCTGTCACAAGTGAAGTGAGTCACTGGATTGGTTGATTTCTTAAGTTCATGGTTGATGTAAACAATACCTGGTTCTGATGGGAAAGAAAGGTCTATTGTGACCTTATAACTGAATGTTGGTGATGGTTTCAGGTCTCAGTCTTGCATAATTGTTTAGTTGGTTATTCTGGTTCTCACTTTCAGGTGTATCTTCAGAGAATTTTAAACTTTTCACTTTTATTGCAGTTACTCAGATTTCTTTTCATCTTGACTACTGTAGTAACAAAACAGATCTCACTGCTTTTTGAATTTTCTCATGGTTAACTTATACTCAAAAACCAGAGCCATCTTTTAAAATACAAATTTGAGTGTGTTTTCTGCCAGACACGCTTGATGTCTCTCTCTCTATAAAATAAAGCCCCATGCACTGAATGTAGCACTCAGCCTCTTCGAGTGTAATCCCAGCCCCAAATCCTCGTCCTTATCGATCTCCCTCCCCATTTCCCTCTTTGTATTCAGTCCATAAGGCAAGACTGCCCACATTTTCCCTGTAGTGATTAACCTGCTCCGAAACCCTATAGCACCTTATGTCACTTTTAGCACTTACTACATATGTCTCGATACAGAGTTTTGTTTTTTGTTGTTGTTGTTTGTTATTTCATTTTTAATTGAAGGATGCTGTTCAGGTGACAATTTGCCCCAGAAAAAATACCAGTGGGCAAAATCTAGCCGGTTTTTCCCTTTCAGCCATTCCTCTGCCCTTTCTTTCTTTTTTTTTTTTTTAATTGCATTTTAGGTTTTGGGGTACATGTGAAGAACATGCAAGATTGTTGCATAGGTGCACACTGTGCTGCCTTCCTCCCCATCACCTACATCTGGCATTTCTCCATGTTTGCCTCTTAATTGAGGTTTGTATTTCTTAAGAACAAAAATTCTTATTCAACTTCATAGCTCCCCGTTCCCCATGATACTGATTAGGGCACAAATACAGCTAAATTTCAAATAATTCAGTTTAAATCAGGCTTAAATATCTATTGTATTTTCTAGAATTTTTAGAAGATGGACATAAAAATATGTGAAGACAATATATCTCCTATTTTAGAAGTCTTTGAGCCCAGCTTGAGATTTTTATTTTAGGTTCTTAACTTAATACCTGGTATAAGAAATGTAAATTTTATAGAATGTCATATAACTCTTTTATGGTCTTTCAGGTACAATCATCTGATTGGCTCTTATAAGGTACCTAGAAATTCTTTTAATTTCGTTATTTCCACTACATTTGTTTTCAGATAAAAATGAATCCCGTTTCCCATCCAGTACTGAAGTGCTAAAGTGAGAAGATATTTGCTAAGTCAGATCACCTCGGGTAAGTCTGCTCACATCTATCTTGGTACCAGCTTAAGGTTGATTTAAAATGCGAATAATTAAGTTCACTAACTTGGACGTCTCAACTTTCAAATTTCTCAGCATATCTTCTAGTTACCTTGTATATTGAATCACTGTACTTGGGAAATAGTACAAAGATGATTTCTTATTAAATTTCACATGCTTATAAAAAGAAAATGTTCAGTTTTAAACTCATGGTGTTATTTTTTAAAATGAGACTAACACCTTAAAATCATCCTTATTTGTGTCAAGTCTAGTCATAAAGTCCTAAGAGTCAAACAATGCTTTTGAAATGTTTTTTTCCGTTGTAGCTGATTATATATATTTGTATATATATTAGTTTTTAAAGTCTTTATACAACTTTTCTGGATGATTTATATGTTCTTATTTAAAGAAATACTTTGTTAATTAACATTTAACTACCATACTCAGACACAGGTATGCAAAGAAAAAAAATTAACTACCTTAAATGTTTATTAACTATTTGTATAAAAAAATCTTTGAAAGATCATCTTATTCACCCTCAACTCTTACAGTAATCTCCTAATAGTCTTTCTGTATTCATTCTGTCTTCCCCTGTCATGTGTTCATTGTTACATAAACCTGCATTTAGAACCACTTTAGTAATTTAAAAACTCTTTAATGGCTTCTAACTACCTCTTAGATGGAATCCAAGTTCCTTTGCCTGTCATTCGGAGCCCCCTACTAAGGTCCTGCAAACAAACCCCACTTGAGCCAACTGGACTTTTCCTATTCTCTGAACTCTCATTGTTCTTCATGCATCTGTCTTGATTTGTACTGGTTTTCCTGCCTGTGATGTCCCCTGCTGCCCTAAAACTATTTCCTCTGCACATTGAAACCCTGTGCAGGCCTCTCTATGACACATTCTCTGATTACTCCAGCTAGAGGCACTAGCTGTTTCTCTCTACCAGTGTCATTGAATGTTTTGTTGTATCACTGTTGTGGCGTATTTTACCATTTAGCTTTATTGTTTGTGTTTATGTCTGTCTTTTCTCCCACCCTAGATTATAAGGACTATAAAATCAAAGATCTTACCTGATTTTTGTCTCCTATAGCATTCACCATAGTCTTTAGAAATGCTTTGTAAATATTTATATAATAAATTAAGAATGTGCTTGACTTTTTCTCTCATTATTTCCTCTGTCTTTAATCCTTATAAACACATATGGTCCATATTCTTGGCAACCATTCTTGTTCTGCACTCCTTGTTGCCATCTTATCCTAGGAAAATACTGACCGTAGTGCAGTTAACAAGATACAGTCAGTTCCTGACCCAAGAAATACACTGTATTCCAGAATTTCAGGTCTAGTTCTGTTGTTTGGAATGAGAAAGCATTTTTCCATAAAAACAATGTTATAAATAGTGGTTAGGTTCTCAGCCAGCCCTCTCAAGACTATTTAACTCACAAGTACCAGTACTACTTTCACTATGGGCAGCCACAGTGTACAATGCTGTTTTGTGGAGAGATTATAGCTCTGGATATGGAAATAAATCTCCCATGCTCTAGAACCAGGACAGAAAGTTTCTGGGCAGGTTGAACAGTAGGAGGGTCTGAGCTGGGGCTCTGACAGTGTTGGATACTCTCCCATCAGAAGCTTCTCGGTTTTCAGTAGATACAGGAGAGACTTTGACCTGTAGGTTATGATACTCTCATGCCATCTAAATTGAGGGGAAAGGGACACTTGCTCTTCTGATCCTTCGACAGTTGATGAGGTTGGTAAACAGGGTTTTCTCTATCCTTCCACATGGGTGGGTTGTTTGTAAGTCACGTATTGACAGATCAGGGACTATTTCACTACTTCCTCCTTTTGGATATTATACAGATTTATGGGAATTGAATATATAAACATGGAATATACTTCTATCTATAGGAAAAAAACACATTTATAGGTGTCACCCCTATGTTTGATATCACATCAGTTTTTATGGACATGTGATTATCATTTACATGGGCATAATGATGCTTCTAGTAAGAAACACATCAGCATGTACATAAACAACCCTCAACATTGATGCCTGAGGTTGTCCAGCTGTAAGAAAAAACGCTTCATAAATTTCAGAGGATTTAATTTATTCAATCATAATTATTGAACGTGTGAGTGTCTACTTCATGCTTAATACTGTTGTCAATGCTAGAGTCTAGGAAACGAGAATAAAAGGTGTTGTATAAAGTTTGTCTTCCTTGGGAAGTCTGAAATATATAGGGAGCAAAAATATTAAACATTCACATTGAAAACAATATATGATTAATTGACATAAAATACTTCATAAACATAAAAAATGCCTTTTGGATTCTCAGAATAGCAATATCATTATATTCCCATGGTTGTAAGGATACTGGTGGGATTTCACCTAGTTTTAGAAGAATAGTGAAGTTGTAAAGAGAGAGCGAGAGAGGAAATGATATTCCAGGTTGGATTAACAGCATGAATAGAGGACTGGCTACACAAACAAAAAAAAGGCATTACTGGGCCTGGCGCGGTGGCTCATACTTGTAATCCCAGCACTTTGGGAGGCCAAGGTGGGTGGATCACGAGGTCAGGAGTTCAAGACCCGCCTGGCCAAGATGGTGAAACCCCATCTCTACTGAAAATGCAAAAAAAATTAGCCAGGCATGGTGATCTGGGTACCTGTAATCTCAGCTACTCAGGAGGCTGAGGCAGAGAATTGCTTGAACTCGGGAGGTAGAGCGAAGATTGCACCACTGCACTTCAGCCTGGGCAACAGAGCAAGACTCTATCGCAACAAAAAAAAAAAAAAAAAAGAAAAAAGCATTACTGAATGGAGCAGAAGGGTTAATTCATGTTGGGTGAAACAATAGGGGGGCAGAAATAGACCAGTGGTTCAACCCTGGCAGTAGATAAGAATCGTCCATAGATATTTGTAAAGATTGCATCCCCAGATCTTAGCCCAGAACTAGTAAATAGAGTTTCAGGGGCATGGGACATAAGCCTGTTTATTTTTTAAAGCTCCCCTTGTGGTTCTGATATTCAGCCAGGGTTGAAAATCCCTGAATTAGAAGAATGGGCCAAATTTAGGAGAGCCATGAATGCCCTCCTGAGGAGTTGGGCCTCTGTCCCTCAAGCAGTGGGAAGACTTCAGAGGTTTCTGAGATGTGTGACATGATCAGATTGGTGTTTGCCAAGATAAATGATTTGTCAGCTACATGTGAATAAAAAAGAAATAAGAAACAGCTTGAATTAGAGCAGTGGTAGTGGTGAAAAAGAGGAGTCACCTTTTTAAGTGTAGTTAGATGTGTGGGAGCTGGTGATGTCAGTCTTGACCTCAGCATGATCTGTTTTATAAACTGATTATACAACTTCATCCTCATTAATTTGATCTCTTTTCTCATTCGGCCTGGCAACTTAAATAGTAATTTCAGCCAGTTTGCATTTAATGGAAGGAGACCATTGTCTACTCATGTACCCGTCTAACTCATAATGGTAAGTGAAGTTATGTGTATGAGGAATATGACCTTTAACGTAATCATTATAAAGCATTTAATAACTTCCCACATATGCAATAACACAAACCCAGTCCTGCGTGATTGTGCCAAGAGCCAGAATCACAAGTATAAAGTAGTTATTAGCACACAGTTCCTTAGCATTAAGTTCAAATGTGAAGAAATGTTCTAAGTCGTGTTATGGATTTTAATATTTTTAGCATTAAATTTGATAATTGCATAATTTTCTGATGTTAGACCCAAGCATGCCTCTTGACTACAACACCTGTTCTTTCTCTGAGTTTATGCTTCTCCAGCAAGGAGTGCAGTCCCTCACCCCCCATTTGGATCCATCTGCTGGTGTCAGTCAATGAGCACCCCTACCCTAGCCTCATCCAAAGGGATAACTGGGCCAGCAGAGAGGAGTTTTAAAGGAGTCAGAATTTCTCTTGTGGCACGGATGCACAAAGGATCTTGGTGGCTCTTTTGCTTCTGCCCTATGGGGGACATGATAGCTGCTAAGGTACACACACTGAGGAGTCCCAAGGCTCACCACAGGTCGGAACCATTTCAAATCTCTTTGATGTGTTTAAAAATTTTTTATGTTTGGAGGCAATGAACCACATTAATTAGCAGAGAATAAGTTCATAAAGTTTTGATGTGACCTGCCTCCTTTTAAAAAAGGCTCAACATCATAAAATTTTATAAAACAATGCCTTTCTTGGCAATTCTTTAATAGTACACATGTGACAATAGTTTCTACCATGGTCTTTGCCCATGACAATGAATTTATTGTTGTTTTATCAATATCTCCACATCCTATGAGTTACATTTCTAAAAGCTACTTAAGTTTCTGCTAATCACCCAAACATTTAACCAGAGAGTGAATGGTTTGCTTAGAGGGAAGAGAAAGGAGGTAACATTTCTCAAGTGCCCACTCTGTGCCATGTTCTTTACATGTGTTTTCCACTTTAACTCCATTTTACAAATGAGCAAATTGGACTTTATAGAGGTTTAAAAAAACTTACCCGAAGTCAAAAGTTGAGTCAGCAAAGGAAATTGGATTTGATTACAGATCTGGCTGTCTGACTGTCTAATCATCCTGGTCTTACAAATCTTCATGGTGCTTATTTGTGGGGTAACATCAGTAAACTTAGAATTAGGAGGTCTGAGTACAGGCTTCACCTCTTCTATAGTTTGGATGTTTGTCCCCTCTGATATGGTTTGGCTCTGTCCCCACCCAAATGTCACCTTGAATTGTAATCCTCATAATTTCCACGTGTCTAAGAAGAGACCTAGTGGGAGGTGATTGGATCATAGGGTCAGTTCCCTCATGCTGTTCTCATGATAGTGAGTGTGAATTCTCACCAGATCTGAGGGTTTTATAAGGGGCTTTCCCCCTCCTTGCTTTTCATGCTTTCTCTTGCTTGCTGCCATGTAAGACGTGCCTGCTTCCTTTTGCCATGGTTGTAAGTTTCCTGAGGCCTCTCCAGGCATGTGGAACTGTGAATCAATT